GGGGAACAGTCGGCCTAGATTGCCTAGAGTCTCTAGCCTAAAAACATGACAGGTAGGAAACCACTTTCCTACTTGGTTAATTTTACAAATGACAGGATCGCCTGCCTAAAGGGGATCCAGTCTTTAAAATGAGTCAAATACCGATTGGATAAATGGCCGACTGATCGCCTAGCCTGGAAACAGACAACCAGTCGTCCAGGGGCATAGGCGGCGTGACTAACTATCCGTACCTGTCTGCAACTATCGGCCATGTAAAACAGTCGGTATAGTATGCAATTGGATATCAAGGTTTCGATACTTAGCAAAATCGAAACCAATTTAAACGAAACATTTTTTGCATAAACATTCATACCCCCGGCCCCTTGGCCGGGTAAAAGTTACAAAAAGAAGCCGGTCATTAAGACCGGCAAAATATTCAGAACCCCGGCCCCCTGGCCGGGTAAATAGAAACAAACGGCACGCAGGCCGTGAAAAGAAGACATAAAGCTTAAGAAGGGGGCAGATCTTCAATAATAGCAGCTGCCGCCTGGTCCGCACTCTTTTTGCTGGACTCGGCTTCAGCTGCATCCTTCTTCGATGCATCCACCCCAAGCGGCACAAGCGCCACTACCGGCTGCTCCTCCTCCTCCAACGCCTCGTCCTCAGCAGCCGCCAGGATCTCTTGATTATATCTATCAGAACACTGGCGGTACGTTTTTTCCCATGAGGTAAAGTCGACATTGGGGAAGAGGCGGCCCCAGGTCAGGCGCTGGATCTGAGCAGAGTCTTCCATCATCTCTCGGACCAGCTCCTTCTTTTCTTGCTCGGCCTTTTCCGAGAGCTCCTGAGTAAGACTTTTCTCCTGGGTCACCAGGCGCTCCTTAACGTGTGCCAAGGATTTCTCCAAGGTGTCGTAGGAGGACATTTTTTGGCGAAGAGGTCTCAGCTCAGCCTTGAGATTGTTGATGGTCGCCTCCAGCTCACTATTTTTCTTCTGGGCCGCCTCTAACTGAGCCCGGATAGCAGAAGTAGCCTGCGCCTGATAATAAAGAATATCAATTGTCAAAACCTCATTTTGGGCAATTTGAAACATTGCCTTATCACAGTCAGAGGCGGCCATAGCTTTTGCAGCCTTTACCTCTTTGTTCTTCCTGTCAAGCGGCTTGCGAAGGCCGTTCACTCGGAGCAGGGCCTAAGTAAAAGGGAACAGGCGTCAGTTTTCAAGCAAAAAAAACAGGCGTCCTAGAATTTAAATAACCAAAAATATGCCAAGTATACCCAAGCAAGAACCCCTGCAATTCCGTCTAGGTCAAGGGTGTCGACACCCCTGACCGCCTCCCTCTCAGCCGGAGGGACGGCTTTGATCATAGACTTGGCCACCTCGACCAAGTCTGGCTCCTGAGGGCCGGCTGCATCAAGCATAAACAAACGGGTTAGACCTAGAAAAGAAGGGAGCAAGTCTAAAATTCGCAAGGACAACTTCATACTTCTAGGCGGCCCGATTGGAGTTTTAGAAGGAGTGGACGGCTGTTTCTCAGCCGCCGCATGTTTCCTGGCAGAACCAGGAGAGCTCGCAACAGTCGTCCTCCGGGTTTTGGAGTCCGGCTGTTGGGAAGAAGAAGCTCTTGGAGCGCCCGTCTAAAAAAAAAAAAAAAAACACACTCGGTCAGTATATGCATAAACCCAACTCCAAAAAGAGAGTGAAAGGTTCGAAGCTCACCAAGGGCACCCCCTTGTTGGGGGAGTTGGTTGAGGACTGTTGCATGATGGAGGCTCGCAACATGGCCTCCGCAGTCTTGGAGGCGGTAATTTTGCTCATGGCGTCCGCTGAAGAACAAATAGCAAAGTTAATAAAAAGTCATAACAGTAATGCATGGAAAAAACAGAGTATTCGACAGGCCGGCTACCTCTTAAGCACCGACTGCTGAGGCCACAGGCGGCCAAAAAGTACTCGTCATAGAGCCATTTGAAGCTCGGGACGCAGTGCAAGGGTACTTGCTCTCGTACCCCTGAAGTAGAGTCGACCCTCGACTCTACTTTAAAGAGTCCTTTATCCAGGATCTCTTTCTTAGCTTTGGGGGGAACAGGAGGCATGCTGCGGCCGCCTGGAAGAAGAGGCGGATTCCTGTTCCACCTGTTGAAGCGCTTGTTCAGCTCTGTGTCTGAACTCTCAATGATAAGGAAGGTGCTTCGCCAGTCCTTCCACTTGTTTGCTTTACCTCTTGTCATGAGGTAGCCTCTGTGGCTCGTCAATTGATACCAGCCGGTACCGCCTGCCTTAGGGGTCCGGCTGAGGTAGTTCATGTGGGCGAAAGCCTCGAAGTTTGGCTCCACCCCGTGCAGTTCGCACCCGGCCACATAGCCGAGTACGTTGACCCAGGAGTTCGGGGCTAACTGCCATAACCCCAACTCATACCCATCCAAGATTCGCTGAATAGCCGGATGTAGTGGGAAGTGCAGCCCAGCCTTGATGGCCGCCTCGTAGCAGCCAAAGCAGGCGCCATCATAACTAGTACCAGCCGGCCAGACGACTGTGTCTTCTGGATCCGGCACGAAAACTAAAAAGTCGGGGCCCATTGTGTGGTTCGCAATAAAGCTCCCCACTTTCTCTTGCATGGCCGTGATCCGGCCCCGTGGGACAGTGCAGTAGTAGGGGGTATTTTGCTCTCGGTAAGAGGCGGATGGCTCCGCCCAATTGTCCCCCTTCTCGACTGCGTGAGAAAGCCTCGCCTCTTATAGGCGGCTGTTTTTCTCTTCTGTGTCCAGAGAAGTATGACCAGAAGAGCTAGACTCGGATTCGTCCTCTGACGAGTCCGAAGAGGACGACTCCTCCCTTCTCCCAGAGGGGCTCGCCTCCTCTCCTTCAAAAGGAGCAGGAGAGAATGTAGACTTGTCAACTGTAAAACTGGAAGAGGTCACTTTGACTCCTCCCTCAGAACTGTCGGCTTTCAAGCCGCTTTGGTTCACTTCCACATCTGGCGCCTGGTCAGATGTTTCACTAATCGGCACCCTGTGGGAGGAGCCGTCTGAGTTCGAAATCCTAGCAGTTCTTTTTGTTCTGGCCATCATGTTCTGCATAGACACAGAGACAGTCGGACTTTGTATAAAGGGCAAATATGGGTCCGGAAAAGGGCAGGCGACACTCCTAGTCCTAGATTCAGCCGTCCCCGGTGACCGGCTGATCACTAACCTAGGTCGTGTCGTGTGCTTCCGTGGTGCCTCTGAAATTCCTGTGCAGTCGGCTTGTCAGAGCAGGCGGTAGGCAGAAAGAGTCCGAAATGTCAGAGCAAGTTCAGGGGTCCGAATGTTCTCTATAAAAAGTTCTCAAGTGTGAAAATGACTGAAGTCAACACACCCTTATATAGGCAAAGCAAGAAGGCGAAGGGTCACTTCCAAAATTCAAAATTTGGGCAGGAGAATCTCTCGGCCTTTTGCCGAGTGACACCTGTAGCAGGTCGTCGCCTGTCACAGTGCGACACCTGTCACAGGTAACACGTGACCAGTCACGTGCCACCTGTGAGGGGCAAATGATTAGGGGATTTTGCTCCCATCAATCAGAATGCGCCACGTGGGCCAATCAGGTCCTGCCAAGTGTCCTCCAGTTGGAGCTGTCAGGGTTTGCCACGTGGCACACGTCTATTTGTCCACCCTGGACCTATTATGTCATGACACGTGGCATTCTCCATGCCTAATGGAGAAACCGGCCACCTAGGCCCAACTTCCAAGGGAAGCCCAATCAGTCCTAGGTTAACCTAAACCTAGGATTGGCACGTTTCCCAAGGTTATAAATACCTCCCTTAATCCTCATTAAGGGGGATTACGCACATTTAACACTCTCACCTAGAGAGACCCAATCACTTTTATTTTCCGCATTAATTACTCCTTAATCAAGTACTAACTTGACCGTCGGAGGCGGATCTCCAATCATCCGGAGCATCCGTTTGTTTTGCAGGTACAGGCGTCCGGTTCCAGTCTCGGAATTGTAACTCTCCCGCAGGACATCAGAAAACCCCGAAACAGGTTGCGCACGCACACAACCACGGCAGGGCTACTGCCGCGCACCCGCCGATGGTGCTGCTGCCGGCGCCTGCTAGTGGCGGTGGTTGGGCAGTGGGTGGCTGTGGTGGTGGTCGGCCACGAGTGGGTGACGTATGTGGTGTGTGGCGTGGAGGTGAGAAAATAAAATGGGAGGGGGAAAAATTAAGGGGAAAGAAAAATAAGAGGAGAGAGAGATTTTACCTTTGGGTATTCTCCACCTTGGGCAAAGTTTAATTTGTTCATGTATTGGGTATTTATACCCTCTCTCAAAACCCTCCTAACTTAAATTCATTTTCTACCCTTAATGATTCATACTCCTATTCAAAATGACATTTGACTTTCTTTAAAACTCCATTGACTTTAATTTTTTTTTTTATAAAATAATTATGCCCCAATATTTTTAAATAATAAAATAAAATATATCGAAAGCAATCAAATAAATAAAAATGGACCTTTAATTAAAATAACCCTTTTTTAAATTAATAAAAAACCATAAATAATTCATTTCAAATTATCTAAATACTTCATAAAATAATGTTTTAAATTAATAAACGTATAAAAATACGAGATATTACATCTACCATAGTTTAGAAAATTATGGAAAGAAATTATGAACTTTAGAAGTTGAAAGAGGTTAGGACTTTGCACAAGCTCTGAAGAGCTCCTAAAAAGTTGAGATAATAATTTGGCATAATCTCGGCTTGCTTTTGCATTAAATGGAGAAATGTGGGGTATGTATAGAAGATAAAGGATTTGGAGGTATGGACTATGCGCTAAATGCAGGTAGTGCGTACGATATTTGAGTAGTGTAGGCCACACTATAAATACGTGAGTGGTTGTAGGGGCGTATCGTGCAACACATAGTTGTGCATGCGGCACAAGACTGGCTAGACAAATTTTCCTAATGTCAAATGTTTACATGATTTTGAAGGTTTTGGTTTCAGAAAGATTCGAGATTTGGATCGTGGAAAGGGAATTTGGGGGTTTTGGAAATTGGATTTTTGGGTTTGCGGAAAGTTGATAGGGGTTTACGATTTAATTTTGCCACTTTGGTTTTTAGGCATTGGTTTTAAAAGCGTTGAGATTTTTCGGGGTTAGGTGAAGGCTTCGGGAGGTCTTAGGCATGCACCGAATTTAGCTACATAGTTGAGAATCATCTTGATTTTGCATTCAATAGTTTCGTGCTAAAAGGGGAGACTTACTTTACACATTTGCAATCTTCATTTTTTTTAAAAATAATTTCTTTCATCGCACTTTTAATTTTTATTTATTTATTTATTTTTATTTTACTTTTTTTTATTTTTGGTTAAGACATTCTTACTTTTAAAATCCGCATCCCTACTTCGTAATATTTATTCCATTCAACTCACCTCCCTAAGATTATGCGCTTATCAAATTGATTCTTTATTATTAGCAAGACAAGCCTTGGTTAGTCAAAAACTTAACAATATTAGGTAGATGTCAGAAATAATGGTTTACCTTTTTCTTTAATTTTACTGGTATTTAATTTTTGGTTCACGGGATCATACTTAACTTTTTGAATATTTGGAAAATTAGGAGAGTAAGTGTAAAATATGTGATTCAATTCTGGATTTGCAAGGGCAAACGATAAGAAAGAAAGGTGGTTCAGTAATACAAGGGGAGGTCCTCTGATTAAAAGTTAAAATTGGTTAGCCGGCCGGTTAATACTTTAGAGAAGCGAGGTTGAGGGTGATGATAGAGCAGAAGAATGGGTAAGCATTAGGTATTCAAACAATGAAACAATAAATTTAGGTATCTCGAAATCAGTTGGGGAAATTGAGAGAGAGAAACGAATAGGGGAATTGAATTAGGGTTATGGTACACAAATATAATGCTTTGTTCTTCTCTAAGGACCCGATTACAGTCCTGGCTTCGTGATTACGACAAACTTCAATCCGTTGCCGTCATTCTCCTGTACGTCCAAGTAAGTTAGGTTTATCAAGCTTTTTAATTGGATATTTTTGATTTTAGTATGAGTTTCTTGTTTAATCTGTTGGTATTTTTTTTTCTTTTTTTTTTTCTCAGATTGGATGCTCATTGGTTGGATCTCTAGGAGCTCTGTATACCGGGGTTCTTCTTATCAACTTGGCTATTGCCCTGTTTGCCCTTGTTGCCATTGAGAGTGGCAGTCAAAGCCTTGGCCGGACTTATGCCTTTTTACTCTTCTCTGCAATCCTGCTGGACATCTTCTGGTTTCTTCTTTTCTCCTATGATATATGGTCAGTCACTATCTCATTAACACTTTTAATCCTGGCTGCCTCTATTCATTCATCATCTTTATACACTACTATTTACTATTCTTGGTTGTTCTTAATCAACATGAGTACTTTTCAATATCTAACAACTTCTTGGATGAGCCTTCAAACATCTTAGTGGGTAAATGGCCTTAGTTAGTTCCTGTCAAACCTAACTCTCTTCGGCACAATGAAATTCACACTTTCACAGCATCTATAAACTTCAATCTGTCGTCATGTTCACCAATGGGTGCATACATGTCAACTCGACACAACATGTGTTTGATGAGACAAGGCTCCGTTTGTTTTGATGAAAAACATTTTTCAAGAAAATGATTTTCCCACTTTCCATTGTCTGGTTTGTAAAGGATGGAAAACTATTTTACCTAAGGTGGCAAGTAGTTCTCCCAATAGTGGAAAATGTTCCCTTCGAAATTATGCCACATTTTCCTCCCTACCCCTTTCATCCTTACCTCTCCTCTCATCCATCTTCTCCCTTCCACTCCTATTTTCCCCTTCCTCTATAATTTTTTTCTTGTAAGGAAACAAACAAAGGCAAACCATATTTGCAATTGTTTTCCATGGAGAATCATTTTCCCAAAAAATTGTTTTTCGTCGTAGCAAATGGAGCCTAAGAGTTTGGGGGATTAGAGAGTTTACTGATTGGTTGGAAGCTCTCAATTCTTGTTTCTTTTCAACTCTGCTAGATTGAGATTTTGGGTGAGAAACTGTACTGGGACTTTGTTTTTTTAATTCCTTATTGCAAATACATCTTCTTCTGAATTTATTTCCCTAACATACAGCTTTACGTATTAGCTCTCAATGTCTCCATTGTTATTTTATTGTAAATTTCTCCTTGACTTTCGCATATCATGTCCCAACAGCATCTTTTAGGTTAGTAGATGGTATCTTGGAATTTTTAATGTCACGAGAATCCTCTTGGACTGAGATATGTAGGAGTTATCTGATACAGGCCCTCAACTCATTGCTCCTTGTCAACTCTGCTAGATTGAGAGATTGGGTGGGGACTTCTTTTGGTGCTTTGTCTTCTAAATCCTCATTGCAATGCTCCACTTAACACGTTTTTTTTGGTCCTTAATTTCAATATACATCTGAAAATTAGAATCTCCAAACATAGTGACCAACATTGTAAAGAAATTAATAATTGTGAATTTTGTAAATATCTTGAAGCGCCCTGTTTATTGATTTTTCTCTTTGTTTGGTCTGAGTATATGGTAGATTCTGATATTTTACCCCAATAATTTGACGAAGCTTGATTTTCTTACCCTAGTAATTTGTTGAAACTCATTCTGAATGCTTCCAAGAGTTTTGAAACCTTTGAGCTTAGGGATCTTTTAATTGGAGGGTGTTAGGCTATGGACTTTTCTTCTGACTTTCCTTTTTTTTTTTTTGTATATGTGCAGGCACATCTCGTCAGAGAATAATGGAGCATCATTTATCTTTTCTTTGAACCTCACTCTGTTAATGCAAATTCTTGGATTGTCAGTAAGAATATCGTCGGCTTTCTTGTGGATTCAGATGTACAGACTGGGGCTTGCATATGTCGAAAGTGCAGTTTCTCGAGAAGCAGATTTTGATTTAAGAAACAGTTTTCTAAGTCCTGCCACACCTGCAGTAGTTAGACAATCCTCAGATTCTGATGATCAACTAGGTGGATCTATATATGATCCAGCATACTACTCCTCTCTTTTTGAAGTTAATCAAGATGACAAACACTCAAAAAAGGTTGGTGATCTGCAACTACTGCTGTAATGTACTTGAGAGTTGACTCTGAAATAACCTGCTTGTACTTAGCTGATGAGAAGTATATTTTTTTAGGCTTTTGATTGCTCTCTTCTCTTATTTTATATCGTTCCCTCTCCCCTTTGCCACTGAATATCCTCTTGTTGATTTCATGTGTATCTATATTTCATCATTTTACAACAGCTTTGGTGACTTAGTTTCATATTTATCTGTATTTCATCATTTGAAAACGGCTTTGGTGACTGATTTGCGTTTATGAAAGGCAAGGAGAAAGGGAGAATCAGGATATTTGGATTTTGCAAGCAGTTTGTTTAATCAGAAAAAAGCTATAATGGTTTGATTTATGACACTCCCTTTCCTGTTCTATGGTGTGAACTGCTTGAACCTAGGAATCATGCAGATTTTGTGAATTATTTGATGTTTTCATTTTCAATAAACATAAAACCTTCTTTTTCTTTTTTCCATAGGTGGTTGTTGGTGTATTTTATTTTTTTTAATTTTTTTTTTATCCATACCAATCCTGTTCACCGACGTGGGTTATCCTTTTTCATTCACCACTCTACACAATCAAGAAAAAACTGTCTTAATCGAGGAGTCGAGGTCTATGGATTCTATTATTGCGCATGTTTATTATTTTTTACATTGGTATGTATATCCTATATGACTGCAGTCATTTGATGTAGTCTTCCATTAGAGGTGGAATCTCACAGTCACACGACTCACACCCTTGCAGGGCCAAAGCGATTTCAAGGATGGTGATTCTTCATCTCAGACTGAAAGCTGTATATTGAAGCTGTCTGTGGGGAGTGCTTTTCAGACTATAGTGGTAACTTGTTGTTGCTCTGTTTGCTTATAGTTTCTCATCTGGACTCTGGAGTGTTGTTTAATTTTTTTTTTTTTTTTTTTGTCATTTTATTTGAAATATTTACATGAGTTCATCTGTGTGATGATGAACATATGCATAGCTATGGATGCCTGTTGGTTGTTTTTATGATTAAAAATCAACAGTTACTATATCTAGACTAATACTAGCCCCTTAATTTTAAAATTAAGTACCTTACTATTTATATTTAATTTTGTCTCGTATATACATGAAAAAACGTAATTCAAATGAAAACTAAACCTTTTTTTTCCTGCTGCACGAGATCATTACTTACTTTTTTATTTTATTTTTTTATTTTTATAATTAAACATTCTAGCATCGGGTTTAGGTTTGACTGCTGCTGTAGTGTTTTTTATTGCCTATTTTTTTTTTTCTTTTTTTTTTTTCCAAAGTCCAATTAATTATCAATAGTTAAATTTCTCTAATTATGTCAAACATTCATCAATCATTGATTTTTTTTTGTTTTTGTTCTTGTTTTTGTTTTTGTAATGGTACTATGGTTGGTAGCTCATATATTGGGCACCAACTTTTCATTCATCCCACCCCCTAATCTGAGAATATGGTTAAGCTTGTTTTTGTATAAATTGTACGTTTTATATACTCTATAATCCAAGGTTTCTTTTGGTCAAGTTATTTACTGTTATATGTTATTGATTCAATTGCTCGACAAACTTCCCAGCTATATGCATATGCCGTTTTCCTATGAGGATCACTTAGTAAATTATAACAGGTGATTTGCCTTCTTCCTCAGTAGTTTGTGAATCTAACGAGGACGCGTTATTATGAAACACACAGGGGTTAGGGGAGTTTAAACTAATGAAGTCTGGAATTTTCATGAGAATGATATGTGTGACCTGTGATGTTTTGTTGTGAGACTACGTTACAGTAAATCTTAGAATCATATACAGTATTATAGTATCCTTGGATCTGACTATTCTCTTACATGTGCAGGACGAGAATGCGCCATGTCGTCGTCTGAATATTTTGTAATAATATGTTTATTTTTGGAATAGACATTACAAAGTCTAATGAGTTTCTCTACTTGCTTTGTTAAGGAGATTAAAGCTGTGTCATCACCAAGCATTGTATACTGATTTTTGTAGGACTGGCATCCATATATATAAACTACTTCGTATATATTTTTTTGGAAAAATTGGTTTTAATAATTTCAATTTTGCCCGATTTTCTTTTATTAATCCCAATTTTGGATTATTCTGGAATAATCAAACTTTGAGGGTGTTTATTTTCTTTAATCCCAAACCGGTCAACAAAAGCCAATAACATGTTATAACAGGTTATGTGACACGTATTAGTAGCAAAAATAGCTCCAAAAAGCTCAAATAAACACTAATATGACTATAGGACAAGGTATAATCATATACTTCGAATTTATAATGGACAATATCACTAATCTTAAACAAAATGTATATTTTTTTTAGACAAAATAATTTGCTGGATGTACCCTATAAGGCTATAAGAGCTAGCTTCATAATAAATAATTTCCGAAAATGACGAGTATTAGACACAATTTTCAAGATGATATAATCACTTTTTTAGATAATATAATTATCTTGTTGTGAGTCATATTTTGATACCTTTTTAATGATAAATTCACTTTTTAAATGATATAAATATAATCTCATTTCATATGTTATTCTAGATGGTTGAATGCACAATAAGTTATTGTGCATCGTTTTATTTTAGACATTGTATTTAAATATAGGGGGAGGATTACTTTGTTATTTAAGGATTAATCAATAAATAAATATTGTCACTGTTTTAAATTTATTCTATTTTTCCTAGCGGCGTAAAAAGGCGCTGAAATAAGTCATAGACTCGAAACATGGCCTAATATTCCTCCTTTTATCTTTCCTCCTTCAAATCTACTCGTATTTTACGTTTGCGCTGGTTCGCGACGCCCCTATCTCCTCCATTGAAGTGTACCACTTGTGAGCTTTCTCTCCTACACTGAAGTAGCAGATAAGATATTCAATTAATCATCGAATGTCAATTTCACATTGTAGCTCTAATCGTTCATTTAATTGTCAGTATAGTCAATTTAGGGTTCTTCTATTGGTTATAAATCCTTGAAGAATTTACCGTAGTTTTTCGAGCCTACTTTGATGATTGAGTCAATTTTGATTGCTAATGTGCTGCAGGCTTTGGTTTATATAACTCTTTAGGACCTTCCTAGGGCGGCCGCCCTTGCTCAGGGACGGGCCTAATATTCTGAATAGTTCGTTATTGCTGTATTTCTTCTTCTTAACTCCAACTCCATTGTAGAATTAGTAATAGTTTGTTGTCATATGCAAGTATGTTAGGGATGACTAAATTTTGTTTTTATCTTGATTGCAGAAAGCAGTTCTATTGACCCAAGCCTCCAGTAAGAAAATGGTTAGTGGGACCATATTTCATTGTAAGAAAAATTCATGGCCTCGAGAAGAGTATGTCAGCAGAGTTACTTTGCAGCTGGTAAGTCTTGTATCAATTATCTTTTGTCCATTTATTTTTGGGAATGGGTGAAAGCAAGTGAAGAATATAGAATATGGCTGAACTATTTGATGTTATTGTATACTCTTCAGCTGGATTATGACAGTGCTGCTCCACCTGAGCAAGCTTGGAGGAGGAGGTTAAACAGCCATGCTAACATTCTTAAAGAATTTAGTATTACATTTATGGAAGCAATTAAGATGGTAACTATTCGTTGATGAACTCTTTGGTTCTTAAAATCACACATCATATCGATTCTCTCTCTTTCTATTTTTTTTTTATTTTTTATTTTTTCTCCCTTGTAACTTACATTATTGCTATGTTTGCTCTTGGTATCTCCATTGTAGGTTGGTCTTGGCTTTCGTTTGTGGTCATATGTAAGGGAAGAGGCATCACATGGAAGGGTAAGTTTATGATGTCTTTTAACATGGCAGGCCATCTTTATAGTAGTTTCCTTTTTACAACTGTGTTCAATATTCAATGCAGAAAGCTCCTATCGACCCTTTTAATAGAGAAAGCACGAAGCCTTCAGCTTCTCAAGGAGTACCGCTGGGAGGAATGGGGTAATTGTACGCTTGGAAAATTGTGCCTTGCTGTACATGTTTTTTGGTTTATCTTATCTGAACCTTTTGTTGTATTGTGTTGCAGAAGTGGCAGCATTTCTAGAGGTTTTAGGGGAGAATTTAGGCAGTGGCAAATTATCCCTGGTTTATGTGAGGGTTCCCCTGTCATGGCCAATCAATTTTCTGTAAAGGCTCTATCCTACAGCATGTTTTATTGTTCATATATTTTGCCTGCTGCAGAATTTCCTTTGGCCATGGTTTCTTTAATGATTTACCTTGCTGTGAAATACAGTGTGAATGACACCATATACGTTTTTGATGCCATATGCATACAGTGATTTTTTAGGTAGATAAGAGCTCATATTTGCCTATATTGTCCAGGTATACATTCAAGTAGTTATCAACTTACGTGTCTATGAGGTTTTACAAGTTAGGGGTTATAAAGGGTGCAGTTGTGGCTTTGTGGGGGTTAATTCAGAAAGCTGTCTAAAACATGGGATTCTATTGTGTTTTGTAAAACATCAAAGTGATCAGTTAATCTAAACTAATAAAACTAGGACTTATAATGATTGAACCTTCATAGATAGATTTAGAAAAAACATATAATCAACTCCCTATCCTAATTTAAAAATTCAATGAAGGCAAGAACAAAAGTGTTGAATGGGGGATGAATGCTTAGGGACTCATATAGGTAATGTGCATCCTTCCCTTGACTTCCCATTTTACCAATTAATCCTTTAATTATCCCTGATAAGATTTTGATTCCAAGGTAAAACACCAAAGAATGTCTCACTTTCTCTTATGCCTTTTCTAAATTTATAGAAAGTACTCTGAAGTACTTGGAATTGCAGATTTTTATATCTCGTGATGGAGGAAATAGAAGATTTGCATCAGTTTTGGCCCCAGGGCAGCCTGAAGGTTTAGGGTAAGTTTATAATCAATGAAGCATTTCCTTGTTGGTATGATACATTTGAAGCCATATGATCTCGCTCGTAACTCAACTCAACTTAGGGGTGAACATAAGAAAGAAAAAAAGTAAAGTAAATACTAATAGTAACAGTGTCTATACTCGTACACTAAATAACGGTATGATTGAAAATTAACTAGCTAGACTCAAATAAAACATTAACTCAATTGCTTTTTAGTTAGATTTAAATAAATTTTGAAATTGTACCACCTTATTAAAGTGTTCCAAGTCCGATTCAGGATATCCTGTCTATTTATATACTTCATAACTTTTTTGCAATTTTTTCTATAAAAAAAAAACTGGATGGTCACTAATTTATAATGTTTACAACTCGCAAATAAAACGAACTAATAGTAGTTGTTTAGCAAATGTAATACATATATTTATAATTATTATTTTGATATTTATTATATAAAAAATAGGCTAGAATCGGTGTATAATTTGAACTTAAGTGAACTCTTTTATTAAGTTATAGGTACCCTAAGATTCCGGTTCCAAAAAACTGAGAACCGGAACCGGAACCTATTGCACTAGGTTCTCAATTTTACTACCCAAAACCTGCAGTTCCTAACAGGTTCCGATTCCAATTCTGATTTAGGGTACCCTGATTTTTCGCTCACCCTTAACTCAAATTCAGCTAATAAAAATCAAAATCCCCAACAAAAACTTTGTAATCTTATTGTAAATCTTATTGTAAAATGAACAATCACCTACATGGCATATCTTGCAATTCGTGTTTCTCTATTATCCCTCCATATTCAAGCCTATAATCTATCTTATCATCACCATATTCACCGATGCTTGAGAATTATTCTTAAAAGTGGAGAATGAGATTCACAAATACATTTAAAAGTGTTACAAATACATTGTGAATACATTAAAGGTCTATTAGTATTACCTTAAAGGTACATTGGTATTTTGGATACAATCAAGCATATTAGACACATCTAATATAGAATCCACATTGTTCATTAACGTTATTCACCATTGTTGCGTCTCCAAAGTACGGCAAATTTGGCAACATCGCCATCAAATTACACCATTCCCGATCAATCTAGAAAAGAGAATAAGTTTCACACAGAAAAAGGGTTTAGTGTTGAATCTGGATTTTAGGATGATATAAATTGGGGAAAATTAGAAGTGTGAGAAACTGAGGGAAGAGATTTAAGTGAGATTGGAAACTAGTAAGTGTCGTTCCTCGGATCTGTTTTTCATTGAGCTTGGATTGTTTTTACTTTCATGGGAGGATGTCAAGAATTAAGAAAAGATGAAGGCATTAGCAAAAAAGGAAAATCTGTAATTGAAAAATTTAATCTCAGCCGTCAATGTTAAATTCCTACGGTCCTTATTTCTTCTCACCCTTCTCACCTTAACCGGGCTTCTCACATGAGCCTACTTATTTGATGTTTTATATTGCATATATGATTTTAAATCAAACTTGTGAGAAGTCTGTCCCTAACTTTTTCTGTAAAAACATCTTTCATATGATTTTTTACTAAAAGAAAATATACAAGACTTCTCACATTGGTGTGCCCTTGCTATATTTTGTTTGGCGTATCTGTCTTAGACTTGGTTTATTTTGGAATATTTTGGAAATGGCAAGAATTTCCCACATTTTCGATATGGTAACAAATTTTCATGTATAAACTATTAATTCACTTCTGTCTTTAATTTCTGCAGCAAATCTGGTGACCATGGTATATCTTCTTGGGGTTGGAATTTGAGTGGCCAGCATTCATCTTATCATGCTTTGTTTCCAAGGGCATGGACAATATATGATGGTAGTTTGTCATATTTCTTTTCTGTGATCCTAGCATTTATTGATTCTCCTTCCACTTACAATCATATTATATTCATATGTAGGTGAACCTGATCCTGAACTGAAGATATCTTGCCGTCAAATATCTCCCTTTATACCTCATAACTATAAGGATAGCAGTCTGCCTTCTGCTGTCTTTGTTTATACAGTAAGTATGAGTATATGAGCTGCAATATTGATTAATGATTTACGGGGTGCTATCTATCGATGTGGCAATGCTTAACATAATTGTGACCTTGTTTTTCTAATAATGCTAGGTTTGTTTTGTCGCAGTTGGTGAACAATGGGAAGGAAAGGGCTAAAGTCAGCCTTCT